TTTAGTTTCATTTGTGTATATTAATTCATTTAAAATAGCCAGACTATCTATATTCAGGCCGTTTTCATCCATAAATATTGAATTTCTTGGTTTCAGGAAGTCTGCCAAAACCAGCAACAGGTGTTAAATACAGATTTATTTAAACTGAGGACGAATGATAAAGAGGTGGTTGCAGGAGAAAGTGTCTGTTTTTTTTTAAGACAATGAGGATCATCTCATGTAAAGGTAAAAGGTAAAGTTTTTCCCTTAAATAATACATACTAGAGTATATTATAATGATGAACATTGGTTTGTTATTAGGGAGAATATTAGCAGTTTGTGATTATAAAGAAAGGAATCTTATTACTAGTGTGGTTTTTAATAATAAAATAGCTTGTCTGACTTGAAAATAACAGAAACGTAACACAAGTCATGGAAGAAACCCAAAATTCTGTGCAGTAAGATATTTTCCCATTTAATTGCCAATTCTATCATGCTTCAAAATGCATTCCATTAACCTCCTATGTCCTATCAACGTTATACTTTGTGGTATCAGTTGCTAGGGATGAAGGGTTTGTTATCTGTAGGTAATAACTGTCCGCTTCATGATAGGATTTGTGGAGATGTCACCTTGGTCAATACTATCCAGTGACAAAAATATGATTTCAGTGTGCAGTGATCAATATTTGGGCAACCCGCAATTCACATCATGACCTTTGTCATATCAGATAGGTTCATTACTAGCCCCTGCTTGATTCTTTTCGCCTTTCTTACTTTGTCCTTAATATATTTTTAAAATCGTGTCAATCACGTTTTTGCCATTATGCTACAGGTCTGTTATATTTCCTGCTCAGTCCATTGTCATATTTTCCGGGGTTGTCTGGTGAAAAGAATATAATATCTCTTAGAGTTAAGAAAATATTATTCTGGCAAGTGGCAAATTATAGGCAGTCATTGCATAATTTCAGAGCGAAACGAGCAGTTATTTGCCCAGAGGGAACATGAAGTAGCCATGAAGGAAAATGACCCCATGTATCTTGAAAGAAATTAAAGAGTAAGAATCTGTGACAATTAGGGTGCCTAAGTACCATAAATCTGGCTCTTCTATTTCTTAATTTCAAAGGGAACACTTAAGAGTATGACATTTACCAATGAAGGTGTTAAAATATAAATTCTACCACCACCAAAAGATCCGCTATTATGTTCTCAGAAATAGCCTAGTAAAACATCTAACATGTTGTTGTAACAAGAAAGTAGAAATTATTTTCAGAGACATGATCATTAGGAAAAGTGGCATTAATGGAGAGGGGAAGGCTGTGGTAGGATCATCTTTCTACAGAGTTTTCAGGCTATCTCTCCATATATGCAGTGATATTTTTCTTCCTTTGTGGTAATAAAAAAAGCCCAAACAGGCAATTTTCTAGACAAGTAAATGAATAGGTATAATGGTTGGTGACATTTTAAAAATATAAATGAACACATGGAATGTCCTATTTCCTGATCGTGCGATCTTGAGGCACATGAATTCTGTCAATATAGAGAGTAAACAAAAATAACACTAGGAATAGGGAAATAAAAGCAATATTTAAACACTATCCAGAGCACAGCATTCATACCTGGGCTCCATGTGTACATTATAGGTCTGCATGCTTTTTGCTTGAACAGCTTGCAGATGTAAGAGGCAGAATCTCTGCGAAGATAATTTGCAGATATAATGCACCTTATCGTTTCCTATCTCTCGGCTACTCCTTCATGTTCATTTTATTGATTCTTCTAAATCAAATTTATCTGCTTTCATTTAACCATGCATCCAGTCCTGTTGGTATCTCTTACTACTCAGTTTTTCACAGATTCTTGAGTTCTGTTCAACTCACTCTTATTTTTATAAATGAAATAACTAAAGCATCAACAAAGCCTCTGAAACATTTCTGCAGGTAGATGAAGAAGCTGATAAATTATCTTAAGTGTAAACTACGAATCACATCAAGGAGTGAGGATGCATTTCTATACTTTTTGCATCACATATAGTGTATGTGATCTCTTCATGGTCCTGTGTGCATTCATTTCCTGACAGCACTCCCTGTCTGTATAACAGAAGCGGTGTTGAGAAGGGAGGAACGTGAGCAGAAGCCGGCTCTTTACGCACTGTCCTTACACCATCAGTGTTCGGAACAGAAGCTGGCCTAGGCAAATGCAGGCAAATTACTTTGTCCTTGCAATGGGAAATGAGTGTGTGTCTGATGAGAGCCCTAGAGAAGCACGTTTATCTTTGGCTGAAAAGCACTTGAGGAGAAAAAGAGTTTTATGTGCATATATGACACTCTGATCTCCAGACACCTCAAGAAAATAAATTTGGCTAGCGACACAGAAAATCTCCCTCTAAAAAAAGAGCCTTGGTTAATAATATTCCAGTGGGTCCCTGTCTTGCCTCCAGCGTCTGAGAGCAATGATTACCCCCACCCCTTTTACATTTGTGGCTATGTTGGGATCTAACCCAGTAACTTGTGTGTGCTCGGCAGGTATTCTTACTAGTGAGCTACACCCAAACCTAGACAGACACTTCTTCACTAAGTCTGCCCGGACTGACACGATGCATCCTATGTTTCTGAGGACAACAAAGTGTTAAATCCTTTTTCCCAACTCCAGCCCAGCTTTATGTTGTCCACGCTGTACTCTTTTCAAATTAGACTTGTCTGTTCTGCACACATTGCCTGCTTTCACATGCTCATGCTCTGCTCAAACTCCTCTCTGTCCTGCCCACAGTTCTGTCTAATTACTCCTATTTTTCTGCAAAGATTCCAGAAGCCTTTCCTACTTCGCTATTCAGAAATGATCTCCTTCTCTTTTGCCAGAAGAGCAATTTATTTTTACTCTCTTTATGACAATTTTACAACCTCGGTTATATGGTCAGATATTGTGTTTATGCTAGATCATCTCCAGCAAAACTGTTAGCAACTTCAGGGCAGGATAACACAGCTGAACCACTTTTGTATGTTTCGCAGTAACAAAACATTGCTCATTCACCTCTTCAGTACACACAGATGATCTCTCTTTCTTGGCTAGTGTTTTGGTTTATATCTAGATGTCCCCCAAGAGCCTCATGAGCTCATAGATGGGGCTTTGGGCTTTGTAGCTGATTTGCTATTGGGGGGTGGGGGTGGCTGGAAGAGGCAGACCACTGGCGGCGTGACCCTGGGGTCCATCCCCGCTCTGGTGACCCTTTTGTCTCTCTAGCTCCCTGGCCATTAGGTGACGGGACTCTCCTCCACAGCCCGGCTTTCCTCCATGCACTTTCTGCCCTGGAGCCCATCAACTATGGACCACAGCCTCCAAAACCTTTGAGCCCAAGTAAATTTCCTCCTCTTTGAATTGTGAGTGACGGGTACTGTTTCTCATCACCTAGCAAGTGACTATCACACACACACAATCACAAACTCAAAATGGATTTTGTACTCAGTCTTAGGATAAAACCGTCTCATTGGAAACTTCCCCATGTCTGATGGATCACTGTGACCCTTTTTCTATTTACATCTGATTCTAAGATTTCCTGTCTAAATTATCTATAGACTTAACCTGGCAAGGTTCAGCTCCACGCTTTAGATAAAAGTAGTTCAACTTCTAACAACAGGACAATCCAATAGTCACAACCGCATTTCTCCGAGTATCAGGTGGTGAGAGAGACTTGACCCTCCGTGTCAAGATGAAAAACTGCAGACTCTGTAATGAACGGGTTATTTGGCAAAAAGCAGTTTCCTTGCAACTGTCTTCTGTGGTTGTGTGTGTGCATGTTCCCTCGATCCCTCAGAGAAATCAAGAAATGATTAAAATACACAAGCATTTTTCCTTCACACCTATAGATACACTGTTTCCATTCTTTCCTGCCAAAAATCTGAGCATGAGTTTACTTATGTATCGCTGTTGCAACCGAGAGCCAGTAAAGGGTGGCGAAGAGCGTCTTGGCAGAAGAACTCTTCGAATGTGTTTTCCTGTTGTGAAATCAGGGAGGAGGAACGCATTCTCCAGGTGCGGGGCAGGGACGCCCAGCGACTGGGGGAGTGCAGTATGGTGCAGGTTGAGAGCGGCTCTTTCCCCTCGAGTCTGAACTCTTCCGTTTCTCTATCTCATCCTATTTTCCTGTGCTTGGTGATAAGGAAAACCCCTGGGAGCTCACCGAGCCTAAGGGGAGGCAGCTGATGACTCTCAGGAGCCAGAATAAAAGTGCAGACGAGGACCCACTGTGAGACCCCGGGGCCAGCCACGGCCTCTTTCCAAGCCCTGGGCCCCGGCTTGACTGCGAGCGGCAGAGGCTTCCTCCCTCCCAGAACGCAGAACGGCCCGCCGCAATCTCTAGGCGAGGAGCGCGGGCTCTGGGCGCTGGCCCCGCTCAGCACCGCCGCTGAAACCGGGATTGGCGCGCAGTTCGTCCTTGCTCCCCGGGCGGCCCCGTCTGGCAGCGTCCGGGGGATCTGGGCCGTGCTGCGCCCGGGGACGAGGCAGAGCCCCGGGAGGGCGGCAGGAGGGACGCGGCTGGGGCTGGGGCTGGGGCGCCGCCCTCCGCCTC